GTGTCTTTGTTTTGTTTTAAATTGAAGTATAGTTGGCATACAATGTTGTATTAGTTTTTGGATGTGCAAGCAAAAACATTTTTTAAGTAATCCACCCTTTCCCCACTGATTTGAAAATGCTACTTTTGCCATATATAAAATTTTCATGTATACATGCAATAATTTCTGGACTTTAATTTCTGTTTTGTCAAGGTTTTTCTATCTGCTTCTTAGCAATAGCACATTTCAATCACTTCAGCTGTGTAATAATTTTGAAATCTGGTAGGCTAAAGTTCCCCTCTTCCCTGTTATTCCTTTTTTTAATTTTCTTGGCTGTTCTCTTTGTCTTTATTCTTCCAGATGCACTTTAGAATCAATTTGTCAAATTTATGAAGTTCCCTCTAAATTCTTTTGGTATTAACTGACATAACAGATTTGGCTTTAGTGATGTTTTTCATTTTGTTTTGACCAAAGTTTTATACTCTTAATTCTTCTTTACTGTTAGGTTTAAAATTGGAGTCAATTTGTTCCCTAACCTTAATTGTCTTTTTGTGTTTCTTGTTCCACTGTTTTTTGCAAGTTTTTGACTTTTGTTTCTACCAGTATGTCAGTGATGATCTCATTTTAAACATTCAACAGCACTGAGGTCAATTTTTAAAATCATCTGAGAAGACAAATACCACATGATTTAACTTACATGTGGAATCTAAAAAATAAACGAACAAATAAAAGCAGAAACAGACTCATAAATACAGAGAACAAAACTGATAGTTGCCAGAGGGGAACAGGGTGGGGGATAGATGAAGCAGGTCAAAAAGATTAAGAGGTGCAAACTTCCAGGAACACCTGGGTGGCTCAGTCAGTGAAGCGTCCAACTTTGGCTCAGGTCATGATCTCGCACTTTGTGGGTTCGGGCCCTGCGTCAGGCTCTGTTATGACAGCTCAGAGTCTGGAGCCTGCTTCAGAGTCTGTGTTTCCCTCTTTCTCTGCCCCACCCCTGCTCACACTTTTTCTGTCTTTCAAAAATGAATAAACATTAAAAAAATAAAAGAAGTACAAACTTCCAGTTATAAAATAAGTAAGTCCACAGGGTTGTAAAGGGAATGTAGTCAATAGTATTGTAGTAATGTTGTATGGTGACAGATGGTAACTGCACCCATCATGGTAAGCATTTTGTAATATATGTAATTGTCAAATCATTATGTTGTACACCTAAAACTATGTAATATTGTGTGTCAGCCATACTTTAATTAAAAAAAATAAATGTGAGGGGCACCTGGGTGGCTTAGTTGGTTAAGCGTCTGACATGGGTTCAGTTCATCATCTCAGTTTGTGAGTTTGAGCCCCACGTCAGGCTCTCTGCTGACAGCTCAGAGCCTGGAGCCTGCTTCAAATTCTGAATTCTGTTGTTTGCCTCTCTCTCTGCCCCTCCCTCCCTCCCTCACTCTTTCTCTTTCTCTCAAAAATAAGTAAACATTAAAAAATAATTATAATAAATAAATCTGAGAATCAGACTTTTCAGTGTTGTGCTCTTCCTCATATGCCTGTCCTACCTGGGACTGAGTTTATGGCACTGGTCTATCAATTCCATAGCTGTTCCTCCCTGTAGAATCATAGGTTATTATTATCCAGTTAGGGTGAATTCTAAAGTGGTGAACAACTATATTTAGGATGTTTGATATAACCTTAATCTTTAGCAATTGGTAAGATATGCATCTTATATAAAAAACAAAAATCAGTTTCATGGTTACAGAGCAAGGAAACTTTATTTGATATACCAGTTCAAAATAATAAACAAAGGACCTAGCATTTTAACTTATTTCAAACCCAGTATAAGTAATGGCACCTATTAAAAAGTCACAAAAAAAAAAAAAAAATGAAGCTTAGGCTATATTACAGGAAATATGGTATCCAGATTAGAAAAGGTGATAGATAGCTCCAGTCTATGCTAATCAAATGGTTATATAGCTTTGTGCATCTGTTTTGTGCCAGGGACTAAACCAGATGCTAGGATTACAAAGCTTAGAGACATAGCCCACTTAGAACTATGTAAATGGTAGCTAGAACAAGCAACTATCATAGGTTTTGTGAAAAGTCAGAAGGGCATCCAGGAACTAGACCACAGAGGCTGGGGACAGCTTTTAAGGAAGAGGTGACACACAGAGCAGAGGCTTGGGAGGTGGAGCTATAGCCACCTTGTAGAAATTATTTATCCTCACTCTGTCTCCATTACTTCATGTGTAAAACGGAGTCTCTAATAATACATTTTACACTGTTGTCCTAAGTGTTAATGATATATATATGTACATATAATATATATATGTATATATATATGTTATATATGTATATAACATATAATGATATACACACACACACACACACATATGTATAGGAAGCCTCTGGAGCAGACTCTGGCACACAATAATGACTTAGGAAATAGTATGGCATGCCATTTTGAAGTGCTGGGAGGTAGAAGTTGTCCCAGCAGAGAGAGACTTCAAGCAGAAGGAAAGGAGTGTGCCAAAGCTGGAGTGGTTGAGCTGGAGCCTTTCTGGAACTGCAAAATATTTAACCTGATTAGAGTGGAGGAAGTAGCCGAAGATGAAGCTGCGAAGGGAGGCAGGGGTGAGATCTCCAGATAAGAGCTGTTGTGCCATGTTGAGGAGTCTGAGAGGCATTGGACATGTTTGGAATCTTTAAAGGCCTAAAGTAGGGGAGTGTCCAGAGCAGTTTCCCCAGTTGAAAGACGGGTTTGTTACAGATGTGTGGAGGGTTAGGGTTAGCTGTTTGAAGTAGCATTTCCAGGTGGAATGGTAGTGCTCAGCCCTGGCTGCAATGCTGAAGCCATCTGGAGAACTTTCAACAGTCTGATGCCCAGGTTCACTCCCAGTCAGTTTTATCAGCAGCTCTGGGGGTGGGACTGAGGCCTTGGTATTTTTTATTGAGTCCCAGATAATTCCATCACACAGGCACCATGGTGAATCACTGAGTTAGAGGGTATATGTAATTCGAATCAGATTTAATAAAGTTGCAAATTAAACAAGTGCTAGCAGCATAAAGGAACCAGAGTAAGAAGATAACAAGTAGGATACAGTGGTCAGTTGAATGAGGTGGGTTGATTATTTCTGGATTGGGTCACTGGGATGATTTTGATCGTATTACCAAGACTCAGTCATATACCAAGACTGAGGACATGAAGGCGAAGCAGGTTTGTGTATTAGACCTTGCTGAGTGGGCGTGAAAAAGATAAGGAATTTTATTTTATTTAATTTGTTTATTTTTTTATTTAAAAAAATTTTTTTAACGTTTATTTATTTTTGAGAGAGAGACAGAGCATGAACAGGGGAGGGGCAGAGAGAGAGGGAGACACAGAATCTGAAACAGGCTCCAGGCTCTGAGCTGTCAGCACAGAGCCCGACGTGGGGCTCGAACTCACGGATGGTGAGATCATGACCTGAGCCGAAGTCGGACGCCTAACCGACCAAGCCACCCAGGCGCCCCAAGGAATTTTATTTTTAAATGTGGGTATTGAGGGAAAATGATAGAGGATCAGAGAAAGAAACTGAAGGGGAGAAGCCAATGCTGCAGTCGAAAACTCAGGAGACAGAGTAAATAATTGATGAGTGAGACCCCTGAGAAGACAGGACATGCAGAGACATTAAAGTAATTTGAGAATTTCCACTCAGAAAGAAGTAAAAATATGTGAGGGTGCAGATAGGTTCACAGGTCCAGGAAGAGAAGCTATAATATAGCCTGATGGCCTGGTTTCCTTAATTGTCATTTTTTCCCCCCAGAGTTTCAATATTGAACCTTTTTCAGATACTTTCTTGGGTGATCTCTTTTGTTATATTAGGTTACTAAGAAAAACATTGATAAACTGAAGTTTGTCCAGAGGAGTTAATAATTGATACAGTTCAGAAAATTATAGGTTAGTTTTTCATCTCAGGAGTAGCACTTGGCTGCCTTAATTTGAAATTCAAAGAGGGGCGCCTGGGTGGCTCAGTCTGTTAAGCATCTGACTTCGGCTCCGATCATGATCTCTCCATCTGTGAGTTTGAGTCCCACTTTGGGCTCTGTGCTGATAGCTCAGAGCCTGGAGCCTGCTTTGGATTCTGTGTCTCCTTCTGTCTCTGGCCCAACCCTGCTCATGCTCCGTCTCTCTTTCTCAAAAATAAACATACATTAAAAATTTTTTTTTGGATTTAAAGTGTTGAGGGGCGCCTGGGTGGCGCAGTCAGTTAAGCGTCCGACTTCAGCCAGGTCACGATCTCGCGGTCCGGGAGTTCGAGCCCCGCGTCGGGCTCTGGGCTGATGGCTCAGAGCCTGGAGCCTGTTTCCGATTCTGTGTCTCCCTCTCTCTCTGCCCCTCCCCCGTTCATGCTCTGTCTCTCTCTGTCCCAAAAATAAATAAACGTTGAAAAAAAAAAATTAAAAAAAAAAATAAATAAATAAAGTGTTGAAATCACTTGAAAACACTGTACACATCCCATAGTTTCCGATATCACTAACTAGGTAGCATCATATTTTTTTTTTTTCTAGTATAAAACCTCAAAAAACTACGGTCTCATTTTGAAAACATGTTAATTTTTAGTATAACTATTTTCTATTTTACTATAAATATAAATAAATTCTAATGGATATTTTACTTCATATTCTACTTCATACTTCTTTTTATTCTATGATACCTAATAAAGACCTAACTGGATTTCTCAACTGTGATATAAACTGTGATTTGCATTATGTATTGCATTATGTTTTTTCCTCAAAGAACCCACTAAAAGTCTAACTGTCAGGCAGACTGAACTATTTATTTTATAGTTTTCCTATTCAGCAGAAGTAATCATATTCACTACAAGAAAGCAATCATTAGTATGGCTTTTCAGTAAGGCTTCTTATATATAACTTAAATTATTAAGATAATTATGATTACTAAAGCAAAACTGGGGTTAGGAGCATGAATGTATAGATAGAAGGTGGCCTTGATATTGCAGACATTAACCTCATATTTGGTATCATTTCAGGTAACATTTCATTTGTTGCGTTTCCAGTTTCCAGCACCAACTCACCAACAAAGATTTTACCGAAAACCTTAGGACCAATAAATGTGAATGTTGGACCCCAAATGGTAAGAAAATCATCAAATCTTAGAATTGGAAATTTTGCGTGGGCAAGACTAATTTAAAATTAAAGTTTAAAATTTAAAGCTGTAGGTAAAAAATTCCCGTTCATTTCTTAACTCAGTCACTTTTTGAAAAAATTTTGTTTTCATCTGAATATAACTGGTTAAATCTTGAGAAAAAGAAAGCCACTGTGCTCTTCAGTGTTTAATTTTCATGTATTTGAATATGTGATTTCTGGATGTGTAATATCAAGGTTTTTTTGCTCCTTGTGTGAGGATTCTCTTGTTTTTAAATTGTTTGATTACATTGGTTCAAATCTGTTATGTTTTATGTTCTCTTTTTTCTTATAAAATAACTTCTATTGCCCTAAACTGCGTACTCTCCTATAAATTGAATATGACCCAGCAGTTCATCTATATTGAGAGCAATTAATCTTTGGCAGTAGAAATAATGAATGAAAAATGAAAAATATTTAACTGTCTCTCTGAAGGTATTCCATTAATTATTTAATTATGCTAGAGCTTGAACTATACAGCACTTTTAGAAAGCTTTATTTATAAACATAGTTGCATGCAATTTCTCTAAAAACTACTTACTGTAATGGTCTTACCCACCTTTAGCAAAAGTATGTAAACTCTTGAATAGTAAACCTTCATTGTCAGCTCTTGCATATGTTCTCATCTATAGAGCAATAAGGATACATTTTGCCCATAATACTCACTATTGTGGACTCTGTTGAGTGCAACATTATTCAGGCAAAAATATATTTTAACATACTTAGTGACTTCAGCAAATCTTTGAGATTTTAAGACATTCTAGAAATGACATTTTTCTTGATCACTTGAGGACTGTTAATTATCTAAAAAATTCAAGCCAAAGATCTTACACAATTTACTCTAAGTATGTGCAGAATGTAATCTAGCTCCAAACCACATGGAGACTTAAACTCAGGTAAGTGTCCCCATTTGAAGGTAGTTCAGGGTATGTTTCAGACATTACTGCGCTTTTGCTTCTCACCAGCCCCTGCAGTGGGTGCAAATGAGATACGGCACCTGACTTTAAAGTTTGTATTTTGAAAGGCTTTTATATAAACACAAAAATTAAATAAACATGCCCAAACTCTTACGAGTTTCATCCTTACAGTACTCCTCTGTTTTGAGAAACTGTTTCCTGTCAGTATTTTAGTGATACTGCTATGGCTCAAATTTGAATTCCTCTTTTGGCGACAGTTTTTCTTTCCATTGTCCATTTGAACTAATGTGTATGGAAGTAATTTTATACTTCAGTTTTGATGATGATAGGTGGTCTTACTCCATTACTACAAACCTGAGAGTCAGCAAAACAAAGGTCAGAAGAAGGGAAGGAGATTGGGGCTCTTTAAGCCAGGCCTTAATTTGTCTCCTTAATTCTGAGGTGCTTTTTACAGTTCTTAGTTCTTAGACAGGAATGAGAGCTTTCTTTTTGACCTCCTAATTGTTGTAGAATCCCACTTAGTGTCATTTCTCTCTTCTGTTGCTTGTCTCTTCCGAATATTGTCCCTTCACCCTCAATCTCTCATCTATGATTAAAAAAGCATTTTTTTAAGTTGAAAAATTCTTGACTAAAACCTCACCCATTTGCTTCTTACAGTTGTCTTTCTTCACTTGCCCTTTAAATTTCACATGTCTCCTTGCAAGCCAAGTCTTAATGGTAGATAGAAATTTCAAATAGCCCCAAGAAGAGAGTAGTTTTCTGTGTTAATAGAAACTAGTTTAGCAATAACTGTGTTAGTTTGGGATACTTGCCCTCTACTTAAAGGTATCCTGTTTTATACACACACACACACACACACACACACGCACACACACACACACACACACACAGCGTATGTATGATAATCTCATAACTGTATTTTAACATGGTTAAAAAGTACATGTTTCTTGGGGAGCCTGGGTGGCTCAGTCAGTTAAGCATACAACTTTGGCTCAGGTCATGATCTCACGGTTCGTGGGTTCGAGCCCCGCGTCAGGCTCTGTGCTGACCGCTCAGAGCGTGGAGCCTGTTTCAGATTCTGTGTCTTCTTCTCTCTGTCCCCTCCCCCACTTGTGCTCTGTCTCTCTCTCAAAAATAAATAAACATTAAAAAAAAATTTTTTAAGTACATGTTTCTTATAGTGAAAACTAAAGTTTTGTGAAATAATGAAATCCTTTATTATAATCCTTTATAATTATATAGATTTTTTCCCTTCAGAATACAGATATTCCCTTAGTTTTTCTTTCTTTTTTTAAATTGAAGTATCATTGACACACAATATCACATTAATTTCAGGTGTACAATGTAGTGATTGGACAAGTCCATACTTTATGCTGTTCCCCACCAGTGTAGCTACAGTACAAGGCTACTACAGTCTCTTGGCTCTTACTGTAGATGGCAGTAGTACGTAAGATATATTGATTAAAGGCAGAAAATCTTCAGAATGAGGTTCAGTTGCTGTATGATTTTCATAACCCATCTGTAATCTATTGTCAAAAAAACCACATAATTACACTTAAATTAAGGATGTCTTTGGGCATGGGGAGAGGTGGGCACTTAAATTTAAAATAAGTGTTCATTTTCCTTATTAGATCAACAGAATATAGGAAGTAATTACCTCTAATTTCAACTTGGGATTTCACAATTATGGTTCAGTTTTAATAAAGCATATCTGGACCATCACCTATGTAATTTTCCTGGGTTCAGTGGTTGATCAAGTTCTGTTGACTTTTCTTTGATTTTGTTTCTTAAGTTTCACTGTCATTGTCCTAATTTAGGAACTCATTGCATCTCACATGAACTTCTAAATTGTCATTTTAGTTCAAGTCCATCATTCCTCCAATTTGTTCATTCAGGAAATGTTTACTAAGGATTTCTATTATTAAGGACACACCAGGCACTGTGCTGAGAGAAAGGAATAGAGTATTGTTAATCACTCTCAGATCAGCAAAGAATATCAGCTGACAGTTTAACATTGAGGAAGAAAAGAATAAGCCAGAACATACCCTTCTCAGTAATGATAACTAGTTTTTTTCTATGTCCTATTTTCCTTCATCCTCTCTTCATCTTTACTTTTCTACAAAGCCCTTTAAATCGGGTAAACTGAGCCTGTAGGCTACCAATAACAGATATAGAAAAAGAATTTAGTAATAATACTGCACAGGGGCCCCTGGGTGGCTCAGTCAGTTGAACATCCAACTCTTGATTTCAGCTCAGGTCATGATCCCAGAGTCGTGGGATCAAGCCCTGCATCAGGTTCCATGCTGAGCGTAGAGTCTTCTTAAAAGTCTAAGCTCCTGGGTGGCTCAATTGGTTAAGCATCTGACTTTGGCTCAGGTCATGATCTTGCAGTTCGTGAGTTCAAGCCCCACGTTGGGTTCTGTGTTGACAGCTCAGAGCCTGGAGCCTGCTTCGGATTCCCTCTCTCTCTGCCCCTCCCATGTTCGAGCTCTGTCTCTCTGTCTCTCTCAAAAATAAATAAACATTTAAAAAAAAAAGATGCTCTTTCTCTCTCTCTCTCCCCCCCTCCCTCTGCCCCCTCCCCCCACTTGCACGTTTTCTGAAATAAAAAACATAATACTGCACAAATTATGCAGTCTATTTCAAGGGTAAATCGGAATGCTTAGATTTGTTTTGTCTCCTGTTCTAGAAATAGAGTAGACAAAGACTCATCAAATACTCAAATTTTCCTTCTTAAGCTTCACACTCAAGGTTGGCATGATATAGGACATTTGAATGTGTGATGTAGTGATTGTTGAGAATGATATCCTTTATATTGTAGAGTATTTCCTTACTGGATTTTATGTAGACCTTTGGCATACCAGTGAATAAAGAAGCTCCTTTATTTTCATTTTAAGAGCTAAGTCTTTGGTTTCAGTTCATTAAGTATTTGCTGTGCCTTTTCTGTGAATATCTCCTAGCAGTGTATGAGGCTCTGCAAACATTCACTCTACCCTTAAAGATGGTACGCTGAAATGGAGGTGCGGAGGTGAGGTGGAATGTGTAGAGGGGGTAGGAGGTACAAACACATTGTCCAGTATTCATATTTTTTCATGAGGTAAACTTCTGAATTCCTCATTTAATAGTCCTTGGAATATAGTAGAGAATCAGAATTCCCCAGATACCTATCAGTGTTTCTTGTCTTTTGTTTTTATTTTCTTATCTATAGAATTAACTTACTAAAATTATTTCCTAGACATTTGTATATAGTAATATCTCCCTAGCCCCAAATTCGCAAAATACACACAAACAGAGGTAACTAAAGTTCTTAAATATTTAGCAAATGAATAAATGTTGGCAAGACTTTATTTTTTTTAATAAGTTCTTGTTTTTTTTAATGTTTTTGAGGGAGAGAGAGCGCGTGCATGTGTGAGCAAACGAGGACAGGGGCAGAGAGAGAGGATCCAAAGCAGGCTCCACACTGACCACAGAGAGCCTGATATAGGGCTCCAGCCCACAAACCGTGAGATCATGACCTGAGTCAGAGTCAGACCCTCAACCGACTGAGCCACCCAGGCACCCTGACGAGACTTTAAAAACCAAGTCTGCAGGCCTCTGGGTGGCTCAGTTGGTTAAACCCCACACTCTTGATTTCTGCTCAGCTCATGATTTTGTGGTTGATGGGCCTGAGCCCCAGGTCGGCTCTGTGCTAACAGCGCAGAGCCTTCTTGGGATTCTCTCTCTCCCTCTCACTTTGCCTCTCTACTGCTTATGCACCTGCATGTACTCTATCTCAAAAATAAATAAACAAACATTTAAAAACCAAGTCTGAACTGAACTTGAAATGCAAATGGATCCTTCTCTTTGTTCTTTATGGAGCACATTAACAACTAACTTAATGACTAGACTTAGACCCAGCTTGCAGAAACAGGTGTCATTTGATCAGGGAGACAAAAATTAATTAATATTTTGACCTACATAAGGCAGTAGAAGTAGAATTATTTCTTTTAAGATCTGTCATTTAAAAATTATGTGTTGCTCACATAGATGCTTTTCTCTCTTAATTGGGACTTAAACAGAACCTTACTATTATGGAAATTTTCAAAAGTATACAAAAATAGAATCTCTTCCCTTAGAAAATCCAAAGATCTGGGGTTGCCCAGGTAGGGGCAGTCCTGTGCCTCTGGATTGGAATGAAAAAAAAAGAAAGAGCATCCCTTTGTGCCCAGCAGCTCATTCTTTGACAGTTATTCACATGGGGCCAATATTGTTTCATTAACATCCCCATTCACTGGAGCATGCCCTTAATTTTTTGACAAAATTACTTTTAAAGATATTACTAAAATACTAAATTGTTTTTTGTATTAATTATTATAAACATTTTTGGAAAGAAACATGGTCTATTTACCAGTGAAGTCTAAGAAGCATTTTGGTAACATATATCAAAGAACTTTTTTTAAATGTCTGTATCCTTAGTTCCATTAGTTACCTTTCTGGAGTCTGTCCTTAGGAAATAGAAATTAAGGCTAAGATCATTGTACAAAAATGTTCATCACAGTATTGTTTATACTATTGGATAATTGAATATCCATATGTATCTAACAGTAGGGAACAGTAAATCAAATGTTTTACCATTAAAATGTGTTTGAAGAGGGGCACCTGGGTGGCGCAGTCGGTTGAGTGTCCGACTTCAGCCAGGTCACGATCTCGCGGTCCATGAGTTCGAGCCCCGCATCAGGCTCTGGGCTGATGGCTCAGAGCCTGGAGCCTGTTTCCGATTCTGTGTCTCCCTCTCTCTCTGCCCCTCCCCCGTTCATGCTCTGTCTCTCTCTGTCCCAAAAATAAATAAATGTTGAAAAAAAAAATTTTTTTAATGTGTTTGAAGAGGAGCATCTGGGTGGCTCTGTCAGTTGAGTGTTTGACTCTTGATTTCGACTCGGGGTGTGATCACCGGGTCATGGGATTGAGCCCTGCCTCGGGCTCCAAGCTGAGTGTGGAGCCTGTTTAGAATTCTCTCTCTCTCTCTCTCTCTCTCTCTCTGTGTCTATCTCTCTGTGTCTCTCTCTCTGTCTCTCTGTCTCTCTCTCCCCAACTCAGGCTCTCCCTCACGCTCCCTCTCAAATTAAAAAAAAATTAGTAACAAATAAAATGTCTTCAAAGAATATTTAATGACATGAGGAAATGCTCTTGAAAAAGAAGATAAAATTGCCTCTGTATAGTAATCCAAATTGTGGGGAGCCTGGGTGGCTCAGTTAAGCTTCTAACTTCAGCTCAGATCAGGATCTCCTGGTTTGTGACTTCAGGTCCCACATGGGGCTCTCTGCTGTCAACGCAGAGCCCCTTCAGATCCTCTGTCTCCCTCTCTTTCTGCCCCTCCCCCACTCTCCCATGTGCACATACATGCTCTCTCTCAAAAATAAAAAACATTTAAAACATGGGGCACCTGGGTAGCTCAGTCAGTTAAGCGTCCAACTTCAGTTCAGGTCATGATCCTGCAGTCCATGAGTTGGAGCCCTACATTGGGCTCTGTACTAACAGCTCAGAGCCTGGAGCCTGCTTCAGATTCTGTCTCCCTCTCTCTCTGCCCTTCTCCCACTCACACTCTGTCTGTGTCTCAAAAATGAATAAATGTTAAAAAATTTTTTAAATAAATATAATAACAAGCTAAATTGCATAATGCCTTTGTATATATTTGGACATGAAGATCCAATTTACTGTTGCCCTAGTTTGAATACATCAAGTTCAACTGCAGTTAGGTTCTGTAATTTCAAAGAAAGCTTCTTGCTTTTCTGATTTTTAAAACATTGTTAGTTACCAACTTAATCCTTCCAAATTGCTGTTCACTTGCTGAAACCTGAAACCATATCACTATTCAAGATACTTGTGCTTTAAGATCCTAGAATATAAGCAAATCAAAGTTTATGATTTAGATGATTGATATTAAGTACATTTTAGGCAGTGAGATTTCCTCCTTATATGTAGCTTAGCAGTCAACATGATTTTCTACATGTATGCTTTTCTTTATAATTAAGAATATTATTTTCTGTGTCCTAACTTTTTAGATTATAAGCACACCACAGAGACTAACCAGTTCAGGAAGTGTTCTGATTGGGAGTCCATATACCCCTGCACCAGCAATGGTTACTCAGACACACATAGCAGAAGCTACTGGCTGGGTCCCAGGGTAAGACTGTTGTTGCAAGTTACCATTTTTAAAACTTTTTTTAAGCTGTGATCTTTTCCTCTCACTCTCTTGTCTTCTGTTCTTGTTTCATGTTAGTCTAGTCCTTAAAAACTAATGTGTGGCCTTTAAAATCACCTGTTTTATTTCACTTTATATCTCAGATATGAAGCAATCATTTTTAAATACAATATGGAACAATCATTTTTAAATACAATAATTTGTACCTGTGTCTTCTGACTTTTTCACCTCTCAAAAAGTACTGTTTTTATGATTATCACATTTAGCTGCTTTGGAGATGCACGAACTATATTGTTTTAATAAACATAAGCAAAGAGTTACATATTAAGTGTTGGCTATCCTCCGAATTTCCTGTAACTTTTTATTTCCTTCAAAACCAGAAAAGGAACTAGGGAAAAGAAGCCAAATACATTAAAATTTTTATTGAGTTTTTTCTTGATCCTTTTAAAACACTGGACAGTTAAATCAATATCCCTTGCGTTATTCATTTGCCACTTTTAGTATTAAACTTTTACATGTTTCATCTCTGCCTGTAGATACCCTTACCCAGGCTTTCTCTGCTCCTTATCATTTTACCATTTGATCGTCCTGTAAAAGAAAAAAATCCTAAGATAAAGGACTCAAAACTTCATTTTGTCACTTTAGAAGTTATTTTCATGGTGACATACTGTACTCGTAGTTCTGTTTGACTTACAATTGTGAGTTAGCAGACAGTAAATTTTGGTTGTGTAAGAGCTTTCTTGTTCCCAGGATGTTAAATAATCCTGGCAAAGTGTTTTAAGCCATATACATGTTCATGTGTATACACATATAAACACACATTAGAGACAGAATAGTTTCATATGAATACATCCTTTTCCACTATCAAATGAGATGAAACACCATCACCTGTAATCCCATGGCCTCTATTCAGTCCTTAATACACGAGGACCTAGAAGTTACCTCGGATTTCTGCACAGCCTTGAGAGATTATAACATGAAAGCCACGCCTGTGCCAGTCGTGTTGGCCTGCTTTGGAGATGGCCAGGGTTTGGGTATTTTCAGCCCAGCTGTGTTTCATATTAGGGGTGGAATGATTGCTCTGTTGTTCTGGAATGAGTCATACTTTCTGTGCCTTTCTAAGTCTGCAACATTTCTTCCCATATTCCTCGAGCTCATTTCAGCCTACAGTATTATATTGTGGTCTTTTTGATCCTATGATAAATTTTATTATGTTGTGATCTCTTACTCCTATGATAAAATTATAGTTTTTATTTTATGGACATATCTTTCATGTTTGTTAGGTTTTGTGTTTGCATATATTTGCTGTGAAACTAGACAAGTTACAGTAAATTATTCATAAAATAAAGTTGTGTTTAAATACCTGTTCTTTTTATGCTATCTTTTTTTTTTCTTTTTAGTGATAGAAAACGAGCTAGAGAATTTATAGATTCTGATTTTTCAGAAAGGTGAGTATAAGCGTTAAGTGTTTTGTTTGAGAGATGCTACTATGTAGAGAGGAGTTTGATGTCTGGACGATTCTAGTTTAATTAGAGATGTTTTTCTTCACAGGACTTAATTGAGTTTCTGCCATTATTTTATACCTCAGTGAGTGTTGTATTTCATTTGTCATTACATAAATTCATTATATTTACATAGGTCCAAAAGAAATCATCCTGTTAGTAGATTGGCTGTTGGTAGTGTATTATTTAGCCCTTTCCCTCCTTTTGGAGGATGAAGTGTCCTACCAAAGTGAATATTCGATGTTACCTCAACATGCCCAGATTTTTTAAAAAGAAGTTTTATTGAACACATTTAAAGATTGTAGTAAAGTCTCACTTCTTTCTTAACTAATAAGTCGAGTACAGTATAACATTTCCTTAGACTATTAGGACAGTGTTTCTCAGTGTGCATCAGAATCACCTGTGGAGGGGCGCCTGGGTGGCTCAGTCGGTTAAGCGTCCAACTTTTGTTTGCATATATTTGCTGTGAAACTAGACAAGTTTACAAAAAATTATTCATAAAATAAAGTTGTGTTTAAATACCTGTTCTTTTTATGCTATTCTTTTTTTTTTTTTCTTTTTAGTGATAGAAAACGAGCTAGAGAATTTATAGATTGATTTTTCAGAAAGGTGAGTATAAGCCGCTAAGTGTTTGAGAGATGCTACTATGTAGAGAGGAGAGTTTTGATGCCGTCTGACCCATTCTAGTTTAATTAGAGATGTTTTTTCTTCACAGGACTTAATTGAGTTTCCTGCCATTATTTTATACCTCAGTGAGTGTTGTATTTCATTTGTCATTACATAAATTCATTATATTTACATAGGTCCAAAAGAAATCATCCTGTTAGTAGATTGGCTGTTGGTAGTGTATTATTTAGCCCTTTCTCCCTTTTGAGGATGAAGTGTCCTACCAAAGTGAATATTCTGATGTTACCTCAACATGCCCAGATTTTTTTTAAAAAGAAGTTTTATTGAACACTATTTTAAAAGATTGTAGTAAGTCTCACTTTCAACTAATAAGCTTCCAGCACAGTATAACATTCATTAGGACAGTGTTTCTCAGTGTGCAGAAATCACCTGTGGAGGGATGTGCCCAGGAGTCTAGCTCCTGTTGCTGCCCAACCCTCTCAGCCTCAGGTCACCATCTCACGGGTCCTGTGAGTTCGAGTTCCGCCAAGCTGTGTGGGGCCTCAGCTGATGGCTCAGAGCCTGAGCCTGCTTCCGATTCTGTGTCTCCTCTCTCTGCCTCCTCCCCCGCTCATGCTCTGTCTCTCTCTCTCTGTTCAAAATAAATAAAACGTTAAAAAAAAATTAAAAAAAAAGAATCACCTGTGGAGTATTGAACGCAGTATGAATGTCTACCAAGTCAGAAATTCCAGGAATAAAAACCATCATGTAGGGTCATTGAAGTTCAGTATGCCATGCAAGCCACTACATGAGGTACCATATTAATGTTGTGCTGTTTTTTTTTTTTAAGTTTATTTATTTTTGAGAGAGAGAGAGAGAGAGAGAGAGAGAGAACACAAGGCAGGGAAGGGCAGAGAGAGAGGGAGAGATCCTGCTAGTTCTTGCACTGTAAGCACAGAGCCCAGTGTGGGGCTCGATCCCACTAACCCTGAGATCATGACTGAGC